AATAACTTTTATCCATTCTTGGGTAAGCCTATTACAATGTATACGTATTTCAAGTGAGGCCTAAATAGTGATTTGTCCTGTAATTAGTATGCCTATAAATACACCCCGAAATTCTAGTGTTTTTACTAACACTACTTCGATGACTTGAGTAATTTATATGTTCAACGAGTTCCCAACTATATTAAATAATGACACCGTAAATTCCTTATCTTGTATTTACTATAATTAAAGTCATTTGTAGCACTTCAACACCTGTAACACAGATAGAAATTGGTTTGTTTTGAACTTCACGAAAAGCTACTCGAGGGCTAGCTGTCCCTAATTTAGCAATGATAGACTAGAGGGAAGACAGCTAGTCAACACCGCCAACTCTCGGGTTAATCTTTTACCAACGAATATTGGGATTGACCGTCACGTTATAAGGCCCCCCACGGCTTAAAGGGCGAGCATGTTTGGTGACAGGGATTCGAACCCATGACCCACAGGTTGCGAGTTGAGCGACCTAACTATAAATATGTAAGAGTTTCACGTAATCAGCAAACTAATAAGAAAGAGCACTGAACCCCGAGGTATTACCCTAGCAACAAGGATCCAGCTTGACTGGAATCTATTAATAATAATCCTTTGATTTCTCTCTACAATCCAATTAACCCAATCCCCACCGACGTGATATTCGTAGCTCATATTTTATGTGGTACCTTATCAAAAACGTTTGGAAAACTAAGTACACCAAGTCCACAAATATTGTTCTCGGTAAAATATACGAGATTAGTAAAGTGGAATTCCGTGTTGACTTTCATTTATCATATTTCATTAAATGATTTTGTAAAGGTTTTTTCTATGAGACTCTAGAATTTCCGCTCACTACGGACATAAGTATAACTGGCCTATAATTTTCAGGGAAACTCTTATCACTCCCACCATTAAAACTTGAAGTACCATAAGCACCTTTCCAACCCTGATACTTGTCTACTCTTTGTTGACCTGCTTAAAAAAAAAAAGGCTCACGTGTCTTATCTGTGACTTTCTTTAAAACCCCCAAGAGAAACCTTGTCTGACTTTTAATTTGTTTTAACTACTGACCACCAGGGGATTAATATATACAATTCTAATATTTCTCAGGCTAATACTTATAAAAACTGGAGAGAAGAAAACATTAAAAACTCGGCCATCAAATAGTTTTAAACAAAAACCTTGCTGTCATCCTCCTTTCATTAAGCTCCCAATCTCCATTCTAACATTTTGTTGTATCTATATAAATATATAGATACTTACACTTTCAAAATTGAAACACCCTACCATTGTATCTTTATTTAACAATAAGGATATTGTTTTGTAATCTCAACAGACGAAAGATGTCTCTGACCATCTACCGATTGAGCTACAACTGCGTGGCAAAAGTAAGTATTATTTTACGTGTAATATCGTATTAAAATATAAACTGAGACCAAAAATAATTAATGTTAATTTATCGTTCACGTTATACGACTACTTCTATCAAACAGTTAGTGTTAGAATATTACTTTAAAGGCTTCAGTTTTGGTAATTAAAAATTACTATATTTCAAATTATCAGTTTTCGTGTGTGTGTGTTCAAAGAGAGTTTTGTGGAAATGTTTTACTCGTTTCCTTGACTAAAGTTTATAAATGATAACTGATTCGTAGCAGGGCCGTGAGATGTCGCTAAACACGCATTCCATTTTCACTTGTGACAATAAATCCCGTTATTCAGTACAATCCCAGTATTAACTTTAGATGATAACTGATTCGTAGGAGTGACAATCCCAGTATTAACTTCAGATGATAACTGATTCGTAGGAGTGACAATCCCAGTATTAACTTCAGATGATAACTGATTCGTAGGAGTGGCAATCCCAGTATTAACTTCAGATGATAACTGATTCGTAGGAGTGACAATCCCAGTATTAACTTCAGATGATAACTGATTCGTAGAAGTGGCAATCCCAGTATTAACTTCAGATGATAACTGACTCGTAGGAGTGGCAATCCCAGTATTAACTTCAGATGATAACTGATTCGTAGGAGTGTCAATCCCAGTATTAACTTCAGATGTTAACTGATTAGTAGGAGTGGCAATCCCAGTATTAACTTCAGATGATAACTGATTCGTAGGAGTGGCAAACCCAGTATTAACTTCAGATGATAACTGATTCGTAGGAGTGGCAATCCCAGTATTAACTTCAGATGATAACTGATTCGTAGGAGTGACAATCCCAGTATTAACTTCAGATGATAACTGATTCGTAGGAGTGGCAATCCCAGTATTAACTTCAGATGATAACTGACTCGTAGAAGTGGCAATCCCAGTATTAACTTCAGATGATAACTGATTCGTAGAAGTGGCAATCCCAGTATTAACTTCAGATGATAACTGACTCGTAGAAGTGGCAATCCCAGTATTAACCTATTTCTCATTTTTAGGAAACTTTGGTTGATAGTATAAAAATTTCTATCATTGCTGTGGGTATTCTTGAGCATGTAACATTAACAAATCTGGGAATGGGGAGTGAATATAGGGGTAACAAACTGCAGTTTAAAAACAGACAAAAAATATAAAATGTGGACCGCACTGAAATGAACGATATAAAAGAAATATGAGGATTAATTATTTATAAGCACATTTACTTGTTTATTTTAGAACAAAGCCACACTGTGCTATCATATTCGAACGTAATGCAATTCCGGACTTGTAAGTCTATAGACTTACCGCTACCCCACCGGGAAACAGAAACAAATTTTAGGATCAACGAAAAACTCTCTCGCTACGGCTCGGGTCGTTGTGACCGAGTTCGCAACCACCAGAGTTTCCATACTATAACTCGTATCATAATACATCTGTTTATACTTAATTTTGTTTTGTTGCTCTTTGAACCCTGTCTAACTAATAATCCTGCCACACAAATTGAAAAATCACTCGGCGAATGTGCAGCTCACGTTACCATACCGAATTGCGTAACGCACGAGCTGCTCACGAGTTTACCTCGTGAAGAGTTTTTATTGATATTATTTTTAATTATCTTATCTAACCTAATAAGTTATAATATTTACATTTTAATTACTTTTATAGTAATAAATGAAGAATACACATGAAAAACAAAAAATACAGTACTCAGTTTCAAAATTTTCACAAACAATCCTGCTTCCTCTTCCTCCTTCTCCCCCATCTCCTCACTTCAAACACTGTATATGGGTGGGACAATTGACCCAAAGGGCTGTCTGATGATACTAATCTCTAATTTCTATAGGACCACTTATAAGATACATAAAATAATTAACTTATGAGATTCAGAGACAGTCCTAATACACACTGTAACTCGTAGGTCTTCTTTCGTTTCTATGAGCTTGTATATATTTGTTACTTTTATTCTTTATTTTCATATTGAGTGTACTGTCCTTATTTTTTAATTTAAATTATTGAGTTTGAAATAAAAACAAATGAAAAAAGAGCTGATACAAAATGTGTCGCTGTTGTTCCACTTATATTGTTCTTAATAAATAAACTGCAGTTTTTGTCTTCAAACACTGATGATGTGTGATGATGTATTCCAATTGGCAGCTTTGTTATTTGATGATGACTCTCCAGAAGATGACTTCTCTTGTGCCCTGCTTCAACCTCGTGATGATTACATCAATTACATTCAGACACCTGCACCTGCACGTGAGCTTTGATGAAGTCTCTTCTTCAGTCATCTCAATCAACAAAACTGTCTCGACCCACAGATAGAATGCTTCTTTATAGCAGGAAGACGAGACTAATTTTTAACAAACGTACAGACACTTCGGTGTTTTTTGTGTTTTTTTTTTTGTCAGTTTGTGCAACCATATAACTACTCCATTGCTGTGACTGTGGAAGTTTTGATTCCGGATATAGTAAAAAATCGTTTGGTGCATTCATAATCTATAATTATAATAATTCTGATAAAAGGGTTAGCACACACAAAAAGTGCAATAAATTAAAAAAAAAAACTCTAGCGTTTTCAAATAGTTCTGGAGAATATACGTTGATAAGTAGTGAGTGATATGAAATACATAGGTACAGCTCTTGACGTCACGTAAGCCGGATGTTCCAGACGAGTTGATTTTGGAGTCTAGCCAATCGTAACTGGAGACGTTGTTGTCAGGTTTAGTTTGTACAAAAGAAATGTCTACATTACATGAAAGACGTAAGAGCGATGACAGTTGAAGAAATGTTTTGAACAGTTTTCACAGGATAGAAAAAAAAATAAAACAAAAGGGTAGGGGGGAGGAAATCAGAGAAAACGATCTTGTAAAGCAGTATACAGGAAATCAGAGAAAACGATCTTGTAAAGCAGTATACAGGAAATCAGAGAAAACGATCTTATAAAGCAGTATACAGGAAATAATAGGGAAATAGAAACATGAATAAAAATATGGATAATACCAGGCTAGAATCCGGGTTTCGATACCCGTAGTTGGCAGAGCATAGATAGCCTATTGTGTAGCTTTGTGCTCAATTACGAACAAAAAGGCCCCCAGTGGCACAGCGGTATTGTCTGCGGACTTACAACGCTAGAAACCGGGTTTCGATACCCGTGGTGGGCAGAGCACAGATAGCCCTTGTGTAGCTTTGTGCATAATTAAAAACAAACAAACGAACAAAAACAATTATATTGAACTTGAGTGTAGCTTTGTGCTTAATTACGAACAAAAAGGCCCCCAGTGGCACAGCGGTATTGTCTGCGGACTTACAACGCTAGAAACCGGGTTTCGATACTCGTGGTGGGCAGAGCACAGGTAGCCCTTGTGTAGCTTTGTGCTTAATTACGAACAAAAACAAAACAGTTATACTGAACTTGAGCTACGAAACAGGTTTCAAAGAAGTTTTGTTCTGTATATCCACGCTGAAGTGAAACCTTGAAATGTAGTTTACATATAACATGAAATTAAAACCTTGAGCTACGCCTTGCGATTTAATTGTTAGCGTGAAATGTTCAGTAATTGAGTAATCTAATTTAGGGTTTTTGTTTCTATTATGAAGGAAGACACCAAACGATGTTATATACAGAATGGCTCTGAGCGAGCGTCTTGGAAGAGGAACAGCGAAGGAACAATACGCTTATATATACAGGTATACTAGTTATTGTTAATCTGACTGTCTTATCAGAATATTAAGAAGTTATTTTACAGTTAAAGTTTTATCGGTAAACGAAATATAAAAAGGCTTCCAAGTATCTTGAAAATATAACTACCCCATACTAGTCAAACGGACTTATTATATGTATTCCAGAGATGATATAAAGCTTCTAAAGGCCACTACCACGTCCTGATGTGATTTTGTAACTGTATTCCACGGGCAACATTAAGTTGTAGAGGACATCCTGCACATGCTATCTAGACCGAATGACTGTATTCGAAGGGCAACATTAAGTTTTAGAGGACATCCTGCACGTGCTATCTAGACTGAATGACTGTATTTGACGGGCAACATTAAGTTTTAGAGGGAAACACTCATGTCCTTACCAGCCTGAATGACTGCTTTCTTCAAACATTAAATTCAAGAAGGCAACCCTCACGTGCTAACCAGCCTAAATTATTTTTGTATTTCAGAGATGACAAACTGTCAGTGTTGGATGAACAAGCTTTCCCGGATGTTGAAGACCTTTTCATGAGACCACCGTATATTGTACACTTTTCTTCACCGACAACTCGTGAGTATTTAAATTGTAAATAATTTAACTGTTTCTAAAAACAAATAGTTATTTACAAATGTTGTTTCGAACCTCCTTAAAGATGTAACGGGACGTATTTTAGATGTTTTAATATAAATAACAACAAAATATGTTTCAAAAGAGATTCCATTACTATCGTTACAAGGTTAGGCATAACGGTTTAGGCTTTTGTGTGGGTGCCCTAAGCGTCAAAGTTATGAGAGAATACCGATACATTCAAACAAAATAACGTGGAATATTTTATATTAGAATTATTTTAGAGCCTCATCCACATCCAGTCATGCTCTCTGTGTCGACCATGCATCTTGCCAACAGCCCTGCAGTGTAGTTTTTAATCCAAAAAAACTCCGTCGTAAAGTTGTCATGTCCTCATCGCACCACTCTTTCCTGTAGGCTTTCTATAATCCACCTAGTGTACGGGCCCGGCATGGCCAGGTGGATAAGACGCTCGACTCGCAATCTGAGGGTCGCGGGTTCGAATCCTTGTCCCACCAAACATGCTCGCCCTTTCAGCCGTGGGGGCGTTATAATGTGACGGTAAATCCCACTATTCGTTGGTAAAAGAGTAGCCCAAGAGTTGGCGGTGGGTGGTGATGACTAGCTGCCTTCCCTCTAGTCTTACACTGCTAAATTAGGGACGGCTAGTGCAGATAGCCCTCGTGTAGCTTTGCGCGAAATTCAAAAACAAACAAACCTAGTGTACGAAAACGAAAGCTTCCCAGCACCCTTTCAACAGTCTAATTACAAAGAAATTCATATTGGTATGGTAACATAACCGATATATCTTTGAATGGAACAACAATATAATGAATACCAGTTTAACTCTCTAGCTACTTGCGGTATGCAACGGTTCAAGGCAACTTGTTTACACATGACTTTTCTCACTTTTATAGTAGGAAATCCTTCTTGATTATGTTTCGTTTTGTTGCCTGAGGCACGAGGACAGCTTTTACCACTGCCCTTTGTGTTCGTGGATTCTTACTTGTTATAAAATGCTACACTTTGCTTATTACGACTGGGATACGACTTGTGGTATGTCTCTTTCTGGATGGTCCTGGTACCCCAAGTTGATCCATATTCCTTTGTTTTCCATTACCATTAAGCTGTTGAATATGCTCCCCAAAAGTAATACATTTTAGTGACAACACACTAACCAATTAAGCCAATCAATGTCAGAATGTAGCTCTAATACATGCTGTTTTCCAGTGTCATTAAGCTCATGGTATATCCCCGTCTTGGAAATTCTAAGTCCTCTATCTGAACACATCTTTATGACATGCGAGTATGAATATTTAGTATTGCTATTACTTACATTTGCCAGAAGTGATAACTTTTCGGTACGACCACACTACCTACGAAATACCTAGACATGTTAAAATCTAGGCCACTGGGACCTCATATCAACTGTTGTTGTCACGTGACTTGTTGATTTGCATATATTCAAAATCGTATTCGTAGAGCGTACTCAACGCTCTGTATAGTTGAATAAGACATAATGACGCCACTAAATACTATGTTACAACATGGCGGCGCCCACACTGGAGTTAAAGAAATCTCATTAATGTGAATTTTTAAAATTATTTTTTTTAATATTTTATTAAGCTCAATTTGTTTTCCAAAACAAAATATAAGATAACGTTGATTCAATTAACATTTTATTTAATATATTTACACATTGATTATTGGAATTTACAACATGAAGATTTATTCGAAAGTAGGTGGCGCTGTTGGTAAACACCTACCAACTATAAGTTAATAAGTACAAGGCTTGGCCAAAAGCATTGGTTTGTTTGTTTTTGATACTTGCTCTAAGCTCCACAGTGGCTATCTTTACTAGCTGTTCCTAATTTTCAACTGATAGAATAGAGGGAAGACACCTCGTCACTATCACCCTCCGTCGACTCTTGGGCTACTTTAATCAAATAGTGGGATCTGACCGTCACTATTATAACGCACCCACAACTCTAAAGTGCGAAGCGTTTCAACCACGCCTGGCCAACGAGCATTGGATCTGCTTGCAAATTATTACTTTTACATATATCAAATTTGGCCCCAGTGGTTCAGTGGTAAGTCTGAAGGCTTATAACGCCCAAATCCAAGTTTCGATACCCTGTGGTAGGTACAGCACAGATAGCCCATCATGTAGCTTCGTGTTTAACAACAAACAAAAAAATATCAAGTATTTTCAACAATATGTGTAAAAAAAATGTATTTCCCCAACAGAGAATGGGTAATTTGATCATAGTATATATATACACCAAGGCAACAATGAATGGGTAATTTGATCATAGTATATATACACCAAGGCAACAGTGAATGGGTAATTTGATCATAGTATATATACACCAAGGCAACAGTGAATGGGTAATTTGATCATAGTATATATATACACCAAGACAACAGTGAATGGGTAATTTGATCATAGTATATATACACCAAGGCAACAGTGAATGGGTAATTTGATCATAGTATATATACACCAAGGCAACAGTAAATGGGTAATTTGATCATAGTATATATACACCAAGGCAACAGTGAATGGGTAATTTGATCAGAGTATATGTTTTGTATGTTTCAAAACCTTTCTGTACCTTTGACTCCGTAAAAACTGTTGTTGCTGGTTGTTGTTGTCTTGGAACTTCTGGCAAACTAAATAATAATATATATATATATTTTTTTCCCCCTAGGTGATCTTTCATCATTTGTGGCTATTTGCAGCCACACTCAACCTAGTGGTGCAGCGAACGAAACACACGCTCTGGCCACTGTCTACGACTATGCTCAGAACCATTACAAAAATCCGGTGAGTCGGGAATCGAACCTTCGCTTTGAAGTTTTAGTTCGTCTTTTTCTTCCCCTCTCTGGACACAGCGAGTTTATTACACATTTCATTCAAGATTATAATATCAATTATTTATAGATATAATTATATATTTATTATATATAATTATTTATATTTATATTATTTATTTATATATATATATATTTATTTAGTTATATATATATAACATCGTGACAGTTAGCTTCTCAAGATTGGCTATATGTATATAACAACGTGACATTTCTTCTCCAGATTGGCTGTATTTTTAGATACATAACAACCCCTGTTGAAACATGGGGTGGTTAGGTTTGACGAAACACGTTAGTTACTGGTTGTTTGTCACTAAATGTTACTACATTTCATCTGGTAATATTTTCAACTTACTAACTCTAAAATTCTACACATAATTTTTTGATTAAAAACTCACTAACGGTTTCGAGAAGAGTGTACTAATTAAAACAACGGAGATTCTCACGTTCTGGTTGTAAGCACTTTCTAAACTAGGTGGCGTATTGATTATAAATATTTAGTTACGTATTAGTTAAAAAAACTTCCGAGTGAATTGTTTGTTTGTATTTAGCAGAAAGTTACACAATGGGCTATCTGTGCTGTACCTACCATGGGTATCAAAACCCAGTTTTTAGCGATATAAGTCCGCAAAGATTTGTACCAGAATGTGCAAAACGAGGCAACTTCAAACTTTTATTGTTTTTTGTTATTATTTGTTATAGCCATAGTATTACTCAAAATAATAAGTTTTAAATTGTTACCACGACAACAAAGAAAAATACAAATAATCTTCTTCAGTTTGGAGAATTTACGAACATTTCTTTTTTTCCTTAGTACTCGACTTTTATAACCACTTTTTTTTCGTTGTTGTTGAGAATGAAACATTTGTGTTACATTTTTTATGTCCTAACCTTGATAACAAGATTATAGGTATATACAGGTTCAACATTGCTGTCGAGATGAAGTGTGTGTGGGATTTGAAACACATGTCAGTCATACTCGGTCTTTAAGGCCTGATCTGAAAAACCAAGATAATATAACATTTATAAGCCTGATTAACCCTAATTCAATATGGCGCTCAACTACCATTTGAGCTCACGACTCCCATTAAGAATTCATTTCTCTGAAAAAGGTTAAGTTCTTGTTAATTCTTAGTTAGTGTGACTTATTCTCTTACATAAGACAGACGTAAAGATATATATATATATATACACGTTTTCACTTGGTGTAACTGTAAGCGGACTCATTTTTTAAGGTGGTATGACACCTATTAAGAAGTTAACATTCGTGCATTTCTGAATTTTAGAATGCTATCATCATGGGGGATTTCAATGCTGGGTGTTCTAATGTTCGAGTGGGAGACTGGAATTGGATAGCATTGTGGACTCGTGAGGAATTCACGTGGCTTATTGGCCATCACATAGACACTACTACCTACGTTTCGAGTTGCCCGTATGACAGGTAAAATTTCGGCAAATTGACCCATCTTTGAAATTGGCCAAATATCAGTATCATCACAATTACTTTATTTTTAGAAGTTAACAATAAATTATGCGATTTAGGATTCCTAGATAACAATTATTCAATAATTAATATCCGTTAATTAATAATTTGTATAAATTATAGTCAACTATTAGCGGTCGAGATCGACGGGTATTCTGCATTAATCAAAATTAAGACTTAAATAGGTGCTAGTAGAGTTGGGAAATGGCATTTAGTTATCCAAATAAACACCTGCATTTTTTTCTATCCAAATAATTTTGTTTGTTGTGAAGCACAAAGCTACACAAGGGCTATCTGTGCTCTGCCCATCGCAGGTATCCACACCAGATTTTTTAGTATTATAAGCCTGCAGGCTTACCGTTGAGCCACCGATGATATACAAATAAAATGCAGTATTTTGCTGAATAAATTAGAAAAAAAAAACATTTTCTGCCATCTATATAAAAAATGGCATTGTACCAAATAAATAAGAATAATAAACAGCATTAAAAAACTGGAATAATTTCAAGTATCCAAGAGTTATCTGTTGTATATTTAATAACCCACTAACAATTTGCTTTGGTCAAGTTTAATCTAGCCTAACGGACCTGACCGACCGGTGATAGTTGTGTTTTATAGGCCAAGTTTAATCTAGCCTAATATACCTGATTGACTGATGATAATTGTGTCTTATAGGCCTTATATGACACCATAAGTTTATGTAGATTCAAAACATGAAAAAATTCATATAAGTTACTGTAAAAGTGCATAAAAATGGAACATAGGTGAAACACTTTGAGTTTATTTGTAAGGTGGGTCAAGCATGAAAATAATATTTATAATAACATTTATATTAAATCTAAGTAAGTTTTTGCAATTTCCAAGCTTAACCAGTTTTATGACAATATTTCGGTAGGGATGGTTGTTTTAAGTGGCAATATTTTTTATGCATAATGTAGATTTGTCATAGCCGGAAGTAAGATGGAAAGTGCAGTAATCCCTGGTTCTCCAAAGGCCTTTGATTTTCAAGAAGAATACAGTTTGACAGATGATCAGGTATGTGCGTGTAATTGTAAGCGTTTGTAATGAACTTGTTATCTGAAAAACAAAACTATCATGCAATTTATAATTATCTTTGTCATTAGAAATTATAATTAGGCCTATTACATTTTTAAACTCTACATTATTTTTCTAGTCCCCCTAGGGATTTTCAAGAATTAGAAGATTGTATAATTATAGCATTCCAACCACAATATTAGTCTTATCCTTTGCCGACGACGCATTTTGTTTAACGGACTACCATTTATATAAGCCATTTGTTACAACAACAATTGTTATGCCTTTTTTTCAATCCTGCGAAGTATGGTTATAATTGTACTTGTTATAAGACATTAGTATTAGGCCTAATGCGTTTTTAAACACTACATTCTTTATCTAGTCCCTTAGTTTACATTTTTACGTATACCTTTAGTTAGCGATAGTTATTCTTTAATAGAAAGTTACCTGTTTAATGAGATATTAATAAATGTATTATCTTTTAATAACAGTTAATTAGTATAATGTTTCTGATATTTAAAATACTTTGTGGTCGTAGTGTACGTTTGAAGAACAAATAATCTGAGATTTCGAATAAAATAATCGAATTTTTCTGTCCATTATTATGTTTGATATTTGTGAAATATCGTTGATTTGGCGTCCAACCTGAAACAAACTCAAAGGCGGAACTAGCGCGGGGCAATGCCCTGAGGCCCGTGACGCCTGGTCTGGTCTGATCTTGTGAAAAAAAAAGGGTCCCCGATCATTTCTTTGCTCCTGAACTGCTTGTTCCGCTACTGAACACACTTCATAATAAATTACTAACTGAGATTGTAAATATCGTATAGATAAATCAAATTCACATTCACATAATTAAAAGAGTAACGTATGGGTACATGGAAAGCTTTTTTAACTTAATTAAACTATGCGGAAATGAAATTATGAATAGGGAAGTAACGTTTGCGATCGGGCTCTGAGGGATGACAGATCAGTTCCCTAAATACATTTCCCTCTGTGTTTATTTGTTAAGATTTGTGTATGAAATTTTTAATTTGTTTATAGACACTTTGAATACCGGTACCGTCATATTGTCATCCTGTTGAGTTTTAATACTTACCATCGAAACCAAGGTTTTGAAAGCATCTCTAGATCTAATTCGATGACGAGATCTAATGTTCTTTACTATATAAGTTGGTCTGTCATTTTGGATCATACCGTTCGGTTCAAAGTGTCTTTTGTACTAGAAGTGTTTGGTGGGCATCACATGTCATATAATAGGTTTAACCCACTTAGATTTAACCTCGCAGTCACCGTACGGTCATCAAGTTTGTTCAGTACTCCACGTAACTTCCTTCATACTGGAGTAGTCTAGACAGGTCAGTTAAGTGTTTCAGTTACTTTAAATACACAACACTGCTTTCATATTTTACAAACTTTGTACGTTCAAATACAAGATACCACAACCAAAATTATGTTTCGTACGCAAAGCACAAGTTCCCCCTAGTAATAATTATTGAAACACTTTAATATCTTGGCAAAACCTTTACATAGATTCTTTTATTATTTTTTAAAGCTTAATATTTGTTTAGGTCAAAAAGAGTTTGCTTTCTTTTCGCTGTTCAACAACGTTATCCCAGTTATAACAATGCAAGTAATTTTAAACCCTTTAGTAGAGTTTATTTCACATAGGATTATGGATCAATAACAATTAGAAACTACAATCACCAATACCTAAAATTGCTGCGATGGCAAATAAAAAAGTATATATATATAAGTAAATATTTGGTTGGTCCCCTAACTTTAGGTTTAATGCGACATCTATTGTTCATTTTGGCGTTGATATATATCAATCTTGGGATAGGCCTACTTCCGCAAAGCAAGATGGCGATGCAAAGGAAAACTAATGTAAGACTTCCTCCTGAGGTAAATAGAATACTTTATGTTCGTAATTTACCATATAAGATTACAGCCGAAGAAATGTATGATATCTTCGGTAAGTATGGAGCTATCAGACAGATCCGTGTGGGGAATACGCCCGAGTCTAGGGGAACAGCGTTTGTTGTTTACGAAGATATATTTGATGCAAAGAATGCGTGTGATCACTTGTCTGGCTTTAATGTTTGTAATCGATACCTTGTAGTATTGTACTATCAGTCAAATAAAGCGTTCAAAAAAGTCGACGATGATAAGAAAGAACAAGACATAGAAAGGCTCAAAAAGAAGTATGGAGTAAACACAGAGGAAAAATAGAGAAGGCATCGAGAAAAAATCATTTGGGAAGTCGAACAGTGTCGGTGAACCTTATATACGATACAGACTTTCAGAAGAGTTAGATTTTAAACGGTGTTTCATTTTCTGCAGACCTGCTGGGAAAAAATCAAGAAATTAAAATTAACTGTGTCTACTAACTGTTGCATTAACTATCATTGAAAAAAGGTTTAAAACTGAATTATAGTGAATACTTTTGACATATTAGCATTTAAAAAAAACAACTAAATCAGTAGGCTACTGTACCCAATTTTTTTACCCCCAAACAAAGTCAGTAGGCGTATAAGAACACTGAAAGGTGTAAGAATTAACTCAAACTATATGTGATTAGTTATTCCATATTTTGCCATTCACTAAGTTGAACCAAAAATTTAATGTTTGTTTGATGTAAAATTAAAAGTTATTGTAATTTTTTTAAAAAAAGCTAACTTCCTAGCATTTATTAAACTCTGTTAAAATTTAATGATTGTGGGGAAAATAACTGTTTAAAGTTGAAAACTGTGTAGTTTAGAAACAAATATCAGTAACTTCAGAAAAACTTGGAAAGCTGAAAGTGAAAACTTTATAGTGTTAATTTGAGGTCAAGACTTAATTATCCAAAATTTATTGTTTTGAGAGTATTCAAATTTCATCCTTTAGTTTATTGAATTCAGAGTTCTTTTTTTTTCTTCAAAAATTAAGTTCTAAAAAAAAAAAAAGTAGTTAATGCTTGGACCACAATTATTATGATAGTTAGCAAAATATAACTAGAATATAAGATATAATGATTCATTAGCAAATTTAAACTGCAAGAAGACGGTGTCTCAGACTGATATTTTTTGGAGGGAGTTGAAATTTATTTCGTGTTTTACATTGTACGGATCCAGATCTTGTTTAGTTGTGAATACAGACATGAAGGTTAATTTCTTAAAACTAAATGATTTATTGTATCTAAATTGCAGTTGTAGCTACATTAAATTTTATTTAAGATAAGGAGTGTTATTTTATTGACGTGTATTAGTTTTGTGTTGGTACAGATATTGTTTCTTATATTTCTATGCTGTCTCAACTGCTTTACAGAAGAATTATCTGAAAAATGACTGAGGTACACTTTGAGGTTTAATACCTAACTTATCATTTTCACAAAGTAACTGTGATTTGAAACAAAACTTACTGATGAAAAAATTTTAAAATCAGACTTTTTTAAATTTCTCTATAGTTTTAAGCTGTTATTGTACTTATGTTGTTTTTATAAACATAAAGAAAGGGATAAGATGCAGAATTGAATAACAGATCAGTTTTTAAGATAAAGTTGAAAACAAATTCAGATGTTGTAGGCATGTCATGACTGCAGTGTTTGGTTGTGAAACTTTACCTATATCCTGTAAGTTTTTACAGTTCTGAGAAAAATGATGCTGAGTGAGAAATGAATTAAAGTTTGTCGTCAGATGGAAACAATTTCCTGTATTTATACTATAGTTATTTTTTAACCCTTTTTCATTACGTCTGTAAACAGTATTTACTCTTATTAAATTTTCTAATGGGAAACTTGAAATATGTAGTGCTTGAATTTTCATACAAGTTTTGGTAACCATACATCAGGTTTTAACTGACTTTTTTTATTTGCTAAGTAACACCATATTACTATAAAAGTTCTAGTTTTTATGAAGGACGTGCCCAAGATGTTTGTAATTTTTAAAGTTGACCATGTTAAGGTTTTACTTCAGTATTTTCAGTTGTTCGTATGTTGGTGATGCAGCTTGTCAAAAGTTAAAACGGTATATATATATCTAGTACACACTGCAACAGCTGTACAACTAATTGATTATGTACATAGCAATGTCTGTCGTATCCCAGACAACCTGATGTTCTCTTAAGTATTCGGCGAAAGGCTTCATCGGCGTACTGAATATAGCGTAACTGAAATATGTTGTTACGTTTTTCCTTTACTTTCACTCGTAACTTCTTACAAATACTACGAGAACATTCAGGTGTTAATTTGTTGTAATTACTTTCAACAGATGGCGCTCTTTTATCTTGTAAAAAAAAATAATCGGATATCAGATTTTTATGTTCTTAAAGATAAAATATCACGAGGCAGTGAGTTAGTCCATAAGTCCAAGCTTATATTATTTCTTGCACTGTGTACTTTTTAAAAGTTCCCTCCATCTGTACTACTTTGTTTCATTCCTGCCTTAAGCAACATTTTAAGAAAATATATAGTTTCTTTCCACAGCCATAAATATTTATTGTATCTTCTATTGAACCTTTCCCTTCTGAGAGGCTTACAGTCTACTAACCCACCCCACTTCAAGCACTGATTTTATGTGGGCCACTTAAAATTATTGGATATTGGAGACTTGACTTACAGGTTTAGAGAAGTTATCATCTCCTCCAGTCTTTCCTGATCTTGAGTAACGATTTCTTGAATGCAAATAACATCATACCTTAGAATGATCTGTTGGAAAAAAAAACACAGCAAAGATGACAAAGATCTTATAGGTGATGGATAACTGATTAAAAAGCAAAACCAAAACATGATCCTACAAGCTGGTTGGGATACAAAGATCACAGCAATAGTAGGAACATTGTTTCAACAACAATCATTATGGTGTGTACTCCTTTCATGGGCTGGCGAAACATCCAATTAATTATACTTGTCATATGACATTAGGCCTATTATAATTTTTTAACATTACAGTATTTATCTTACGGGTTTTTTATCCACATTATGTCCGCCATATTGTTTTCGTTGGTTATTTGCGATTTATGCATTCTGTGATGTTTGAACAACGTCTGTTTTTTTTTTTTCTTTTGTCATATCGCTAAGTACAAATAACTTAAGCTGTTTATATACAGGGGATTTGAGTTTGAGCAAAACTACAAACTAGTTACACAGTTTGCTCTTTAAAGTGCTAGAAAATGACGCCAGGGGGTTAGGCACTCGACTCGCAATCTGAGGGTCGCGTGTTCGAATCCCTGTCCCACCAAACATGCTCGCCCTTTCAACCGTGGAGGTGTTATAATGTGACGGTCAATCACACTATTCGTTGGTAAAAAAGTAGCCCAAGAGTTGGCGGTGGGTGGTGATGACTAGCTGTCTTCTCTCTAGTCTTTCTCTGCTAGATTAGGGAAGGCTAGCGCAGATAGTCCTCGTGTAGCTTTGCGCGAAATTCCAAACAAACAAACCAATCGTAATAAATCTCACAACGTTCTTTTTAATGAAATCAGCGCTCGTTGCATTATAGTTTAGAACAAAAACGTGCAATGATCATAGTGTCATTTGTCTATCTATTTTCACAAGGCTACACAAGAGCTATCTGTCCCCATTTTGGAACAATAAAGGGAAGGCAGCACCCACCACAAAGTGGAATTTGATTGTCACTCTTATAGCGCACCTACAGCCCCAAAGTTCAGAACGCGTTTTTGCGGCAACAGGACCAGTGGCGTAGGTTCGCGTCCGCAGCCCGCGCAATTACGGGAGAAGGGATCTTTTTTTAGCTACGCCACTGAACGGGACTCTAATCTTGAGCCTCTGAATTCACACAGTTCGACACACTAACAACAGGGCTATACCTGCCCCACAAAGAATCTATTTAAATAGGTCAGAACTAAAAGTTAATATATATATATATATATATATGATGATTAAAATTCATCCAATCATCATATGGGTACCCTCTGTTATCGACGTTTTCGGCCTTAATCCCAATAGTATCTAATGAGATTAAACATTTAACCAATACTATTAATGACACTGATTTTAAGGAAATAAAGGAATACAACTGTACTTACAAGACGTTCTTTACTATTATTACTTTATT